ACATGTTTTAAAAATTTTTAAATTCCGCTGCATATAGCTCGTACGGTACAGGCGAATTCAACAGTGGTATCAGAGCCACGGTTATCATCTTTAAAAATAGATTTTGATTTGTTAGTGTTTATGAGATAAACAAGATAATTAAATGTTTATGTGATAAACATATTAATTATAAAATAAAAAAAATAAATAAGTCGCGATTTTAAGTCGCGACTCGCGACATAGAGTCGCGAGTCGCGACATCAAGTCGCGAGTCGCGACATGTATTTTACAAGTCGCGAAATTTATTTTTTCAGCTCCAGTTTCTCGCGAGACGAGTCGCGAGTCGCGAGTTGAGTCGCGAGTCGCGAGTCGAATCGCGAGTGTTGTCGCGAGTCGCGAGTTTTTGCGGAGAAGAGCCTGATCAGCCTCTGTTGTACTCGCGAGTCGCGAGACGAGGTCGCGAGTCGCGACATGAAAGTCGCGAGTCGCGAGTCGCACTCGTGAAAGTCGCGAGTCGCGACTTGATAAAAAAAAAATAAAAAAAAAATAATTTTTCATGTGATGAATGGTTTAATTTAGGGATGATCATGAGCCTTTTACACATAATGAATGAATGGATGAATTTTATTTCAATATGATTGAATGTTTGCACTTTTATTCAATATGGTTGAATGTTGTATATTATTCAATAAGATTGAATGAATGTAATTTATCGAGACCTGCGAGTCTCTTGAGATTTGATTTGTAAAATCTTAAATTTTTGTATCGTTAGAAAGATTAGATCAAAGGTGGAGATCGTTCGATGTGAAAGCCCACGATAGTGTGGGTTATTTTACAAGTTTAAAATCTCGAAGGCCTGTGCTTGTACGGGTAGATAAAATGAATTGTAAAAGAAGTAGTTCTATTTATTTGTTTTATCACGTACATAGGCATAGACCCATTTTGGCTCGAATGGGTCGTATAGGCAAGGACATGATCATCCCACCATATGCATGCATTAGATGTATGTTAGGTTTATTTATGCTTTCGATTCATGCGATGGATGAAATGGTAAATAAACGTAAAGATGGTAAACGATGAGATCACGGAACCCTAAAGAATTAATAAGATTAATTCATATCATATCAATAATGGATAAAAATAAGCTGGGACTTATTAATCCAGGCCTTCCATCAAAAAGTAGACGACTTGAGATGCTACGATGCTCTATCACTGACCATGAGTCGTGGGGTGGTTTTGTGTCGAAAGCTGTGATCCCTACTACGTATATTGATACTTGTGAGACGGATTCCTCTTTGTGTTGACCATGAGTCGTGGGACACTCTGGTGGGCCGTTATCGTGAAAGTTTTGATGGGTTTGATTTGACACCGAGTAATATATACGGTCATATTCTTGAGGTATATAAGGACAGGTGAGGCAAAATATCTTGAAGGTTGTATAATGATACAATTGTCAAAAAGTTGACTACCAGTATAAATGTTCCATGCGTACTCATATTCTTGGGATATGGAATATTTTTATTGGACTTCAAGCCTACTATGAAAATTAGATTTTCATAATTAATATGGGGTTTTAATTAAATTAGTGGGAGACATTTAATATTTAAAGACCTAATATTAA